GTACCCACAGTCGAGCTCTAAATAGATCTGAAGAGACGCATTAATTGTGAAAGACAACTAACACGACCCACATTAATTAGGGGCGCCGTTTCCCCTTCAGACTAAAGGGCAAAAGTGCTTTTGCCCGCTGGATAATATCCCATGTGTCAGAAAAAGGGGTCTTCGACCCTGTGGACAAAAGGGAACTCACGCCCACGACCGATGGGTATTATCCGTTCGGGGACATTATAAATAGGAGAGGTTAATCAACCTTAAAGGCAGGAAGGAGGAGGTCTAACAACCAATTACCATGGAGCTCGAGCTTACTTGGGTACAATTAAAATACTGTCTTCCCTTTCTTAATCTTTAAGTTCTAAGAATCCTTTATGTTGCTTGGGTCCCCACTCGGATACTGATCTCAGCACTCCTGGCTTATGTGGAATATATTCCTCATTTTATAAAGGACCACTATCGACAGTAGTGATGAATAATTAGTCGATATATTTGGTGGAAGCTTCTTATCCTCTTTTGGACGGGCTGCTGGAAATTTTATTTGGGGTATTTTGCAAACTTTATTTTGCACCATTCCCTTTATTGGGTGGTTATAGGTGGATAAGTAGATTACTTTTCGCTGTGTAGTATTATTATATTATGAGAAGGCTCGGGGGATATGTTCTATATTTGTGAGCTATCTGTAGGTCTTTGTTGGTCTTGATAGAGGAAATGAATCCAGTTATGGCTATAATAGCGTCTTGCATCAACTTTGGTTGAATTATCTTTGAAGTTTTTCGGTTTAGTTACTGTTGAGCAGTTTGATCTTCTAAACAAATGAGAATATGTGTTACCTTTATTGCATTTGACAAACTATTCTGTTGTAAATGAATTTTCCTTGGGTAATCATTAAATTCAATTTGTCATGAGAGGCATTTATCCATGTTCATTTGTGACTTGGTGGAAAGAAAAAGGAAAATGTTAAAACAGGTTAGGAAATGTGAATACATTTGTTGGATTTTATATATATTTTGTTGATAATTATTTTGTTTGGATTTGACTGTGCACATCTGGATTCACATTCCGTATTTTGTGAAAGAGGAAAAAGATTGTACGAACCTTAATCATTCTGAAAATTCATGCTTTTTTGGCTCTGCGTTTTTTTTTTTTTTTTAATCTGCATTTTGGACAAAAAAATTAAGAAAAAGATTGAAGTCTTGGCTAAGGGGGTCTCTGTCTCTCCTCTCTCTCAAAGGTTAGCATTGATTTTTTGAGCTTCCCAAGATGTCGAATTAAGCAAAAGAAGAGGAAAAAAGGAAGGAAGGAAAAAGAAAAGCATTGAAATTTTCATTACAATGTCATGAAAAATACTCGAAACAGTAAATAGGCCCCCACCCCTTGGAGGAAAAATAAAAATTAATAAATGAAAGTGTAAACTGGGCGGACTAACCTGAACGCAATCAACTTTAGACTGATTTTTCGTAAGTTTGGGCAACCATTTCGTTTATATTTTTCAAATAACAAACCCGAAGACAGATTGGCTTAGTCTCATTTTTCCAACCAGGGCTGAACCCAAGTTCAAAATTTTGAACATGGGTTGGGCTTAGGTTTGAAAGCTTGGGTTCGAGCCGGAAGGTCATATTGGGTTGAGCTTAAGTTGTCTGAGTTGCACGCCTAATAATAGTGTCAAACGCAAAAATACTTCTGTAATGGAACCTAAAAAAACAGATGCTTGCAGCAGGACTAGTGTTGGCATCAAATATGACCATTGATTTAGAGAGCGAAATTGCAGGCCTACGAACTCCACATCAGTCAACATGCTTGGTCCACAGTGGCCGGAACCTGTTCATGCCAATATCAAGCCAAGGCTTGAGTGCACAACTACAGCATTGCGAATCTCGTCTTAGCTTAACATGCAAGACTTGTCCAGTGACAATGTCCCCAATTTCCACAAGCCCCCGGTTCTCATTGTGCAACAAAATTCAGACATTTCACTAATTGATAACGCAAAATCAAATCTGCAATAATAATAAAAAAAAATACACTACAACTAATTTGGAACATAACAAATACATAACACACAGGGAAGATGTTTCTTCCCATGTATGGTTGGTTAATTGGTTAAGGAGTGCATGGAAAAAGGTGTCGCACACTCACTTTTATCCCAATTATTCTATGGCATCTTCAAGGAGATAATCAAAAGCCATATTTGTAGAGGCTACAAAACATGCTATGATGGTTCGTAAGTTTACCACATTGGCTAATAAACATGTTCTCACTCAATTGACTGATCAAATATGTGCGCTACCCTCAAAGTTAACTCTTAAAGAAAAATTTTTTTACATATTTAAGCGCCCTGAATTAGAGACGCTGATAGAGAAGTTAAATATCTTGAAAAGTGACAATTCTAACTACTGTCTATACCTTTTTATTTACATTAAATTTATCACAAAAAAAAAAATTAAATAAATAATAATAATAATAATAATAAATTGTGATTGAGAAAAAGGATACTTTTGTAATTACTCGAACTTGGCTTCGTGTGAATGCATGAGTTTTGTGCAAATCATTTTGTCATGGTAATGCCATTTATTTTATTAATATATATACTAGTCTCGATTCTATTGAATTTTATAGTATTTGATACTTAAGTAAATAGTAGCACTAAAATTGAAACACTTTAAACGAAATATTTTATATTGAGACATTTTGCCAGCCGTATCTATCAAAAAAACTCCGTTGGCAAAAGAAAAGAAAAAACTTGTGTTATTTTGTTATTTAAATGAACCCTCTTTTCCTAATCTTCCCACACGAAAAACGGCAACACTCTCATTTTCATGATTCTTTTATTGGAGAAAATTAAAATTAAGAGGTGACGTGAATGTTTCAATTTTTGTTGAAGTATATATAATTTTGTCAATACTGTGTGGTAATTCTTCAGTAGGAAGTGATTTTTACAGTTTTGGATCCAACTAAAGAAAGGGATGGAAATAGAAAGATTACAAAAGTATTTTGAAAATTGTATCATAATATTTGGATAAAATGAAATTCTTTGCCATTTTTAGAAAAAAAAAAAATAGAATTTACTTCAAACTTTCTTTATATCAGGTGAGTATACATATTAACACACATTCTTCCAGAAGTCCTACCCATTTGTTTGCGGTAGTTGTTTATACCATTAGGTTAATGACATATTAATTTAATAAGGAACTGTTATGATCAAAGGAAGGCAAAAGAATAAAAAAAAAATTCTTAAACTATATCGCATGATACCTCTAAACTATTTTTTTTAGAGTAAATCTAAATCACACAATTCTTCTCAATAGGTGTCGCTGTCACGCTCCAAACGCGCTCCTGCTCTCGTTCAAATTCTCACTGTTCATGACTTAATTCTACCACTTTAACGCTCTCGCTCTCGAATTCACTCCCACTCCCGCTTCCGCTTTATGTGACTTAGGAGCAAACTAATCATTTAATTATAAAAAATGTTGCATATTGCCCCCTTAACTATACCATCTGGCAATTGGAGGTCACTTTCCAACCTGTAGAGGGGCACAATTACTTATTTACCCTAATTTATTATAAAATAAAAAATATAATATATATATAAAATACCAATATTACCCTCAAAATATTTAATTGTTTTTTTCATCTTCCTGGCAGCCAGTGAGTGTACGCGCCACCAACGACGACAACCCTGTTGTGAGAGCCAAAACACCAACAAAGGACCTCCGTCCAAAAAAAAAAAAACTATCTGCTCACCATACCCAAGATGTAGATTTTGCAACCCAAACAAGACATTAAATAAACAAAGAATTGAAGAAAACAGTTGGAAAAACCAACTAAAATTCATCCACCATGCCATCGCGGCACCTCCTTCCCACCCATGGCCTTAGCCGTAGGGGTGGAGCCAAGGCATGCCCAGGGCCCCGCCCCTTCCATCATTTTGTTGTTATATTTTTTTATTAAATGTGGAGAAATTTTGTAGCATGCCCCTTAAAATCTTTACTTACTAAAATTATATCTTTTTTTTTTTCTTTTTTTCCCTTCTTTTACTCTTCAAATTTCTATAATTTTCTTTTTTTTTTTTAAATAAAAAAAGTTACATTCCTATTTCACTTTGGTCAATTAAATCTTAATTTTTTTCTCTTCAAAATTCTTTTTTTTTTTTTTTTTTTTTTTTTTTTTTTTTTTTTTTTTTTTCTTTTTGCACTTGTATATGATGTATGTAATTTTTTTTTTTTTTTTTCTCTTTTTATTTGCATTCATTGTTGTAATTTTATGAATTCAATAATTTTAAAATAAAACTAAATTAATCATGTCATTTGATTTTTTTTTTTTAGTCAAGTACGTTATACCCCTGAAATTAAATCTTAGTTCCGTCCCTGCTTTAGCCGCCACCACCACACTACAATGACCAAAAATTTTGCATCCGTCACCCACACCTACAATTCATCCTCTTCATCCTCATTTTCATCCTTCATGAGCTACACAGCAGCTTGGTAATTTACTACAATACTATTCAAGTTCATCTTTTTAACTTTTACTTTTACTTTTTTTCTCTTCTATTTTTTTTTTTTTTTTTTTTTTTTTTTTTTTTGTTTTTTTTTTCGGAAGTTAAGTATGTATTGCAAAAAAAAAAAACTCTACAACGCAATCCAAAAGAATAGGCTAGCCACGAAAGATGGACCAAGCCCAACCAAAAGCAAACAAAGGAATAAAGCACTGGCAAAGTCTAGTCTAGGGCATATCAAAGACTATCGTTGTCTGAGATCCCAAACATTCCGGTGTGTTACGCAGGACTTAGAGCCGTCGAAGCCAAGCCCTATGCTATTCAGTCTGGAGGTTCTGCCGGTGGCCTCAGGATCGACGCCGGGAGCTCCCAATCCAGCGCTAGCCTCCTTGCATAAGATGAGTCCTTTAAGCTTTGTGATAATAATTTTTGCCTAACCATGTCAGTGATCTGCCTTAATACCACCATTTGTGAATTCTTCTGATTTATGAACACCCTATTGTTTCGCTCCATCCAGATCTTATTGACAGTCGTGGAGAGTACCAACTTCCTCATCGAATTTTTCAGATCTCGTCTTGCCCAATGCTGAGATGCCCAGAGAACAAAATCAGACCAAGAAGAGGGATGAGCGTGAAATCTGGTAATGTTTTGAAGGTGAACCCAAATTGGCCTTGTGAAATTGCAAGCAAAAAAAAGGTGGTCATAGGTCTCGTTGACCACATTACAGAAGAGGCAGAGCCTCGATCCATTTACCATCCTCATTCGGCTTCGATCCATAGTGGAGAGCCTGCCTTGAACAGCCAACCATAATGTAATTTTGCACCTCGGCACAGAGAGTGGGCTCCAAATCAGGTGATGCCAGTGTCTAGGTGGATGGAAAGTATCAATCTAGCTAATAGTTTGGCTGAGTGAGAAGGTACCTATGGATGATGGAGTCCAAAACATTGAGTCGGATGAATTACTCGGCGGTTGTAAAAGTGCAAGTTCAGGGAATCGATCAATCAAGTTCTCAGGGAAAACCCATTCTCCATTTACGGTAAGTGTAAAGAGCATCTGATTTAGAGAGATGGGTGAGTCCCTAATTAGTTCTTCAGGAACCCTTAGGGATAAAGGACCCCCATCCAACCAAAAATCCTCCCAGAAGTAGGTCTCTTCCCCATTACCCACCCTCCTACGAAGCATGGTTCTTGCCAAGCCCCTAAGATGCTGAATCCTCTTCCAATTACTAGAACTTGCCTGTGGGATTCACATAGTCCCGCCCATAGATTATCTCTTCGACCTGAGAGTAGAGTCCAAATATGCCTTAAGGAGGAGGCCAAATTCGCAGTTTCCAGGTTACGAAACCCAAGTGCCCCACACTCCTTAGGCTGACAAACTTTAAACCAAGCCACCTTCGCCCCCGAGTGCTTGTCATCAGTGCCCGTCCAAAGAAAGTTCTTCATCAATTGATTCACTTCAACAAGAACTGACTTTGGAAGGACAAAAATACTAGACCAGTAATTAACCATGCTAAACAACACTGATTGAATCAACTGAACCCTACCCGCATAGGATAGGAAATTGGAAGACCAATGATTAATCCTGCGAGTGATTCTCTCCACAAGCCCTCTGCAATCTGAGTTCTTGAGCCTAGTGGAGATCAATGGAACCCCCAGATACTTAATAGGTAATGTACCACAATCAAATCCAAGCAAATTCTCAAATCCGGCAATATGTGAGCTGTCCACTCCAGAGAGGAAGAGTTGACTCTTAGAGCAATTAATGCTAAGACCCGAGAGTGCTTTAAAGTGATCAATGGCTCTTTTAAGAGTGGAAACAGATGCAAGATCCCCATAGGAAAAAAGAAGGAGATTGTCGGCAAAAATGAGATGAGAAATGCCCAAATTCCTGCATCTAGAGTGGTACCTAAAAACGGGGCAATTCCCAATAAATCTCTTGGTGATGGAAAAGAAAACCTCCATGGCAATCACAAATAGGAGAGGTGAGATAGGATCCCCTGCCTGAGACCCTTAACTCCCTGAAAGTGCCCTTTGAATTCTCCATTTAGAGAAATAGAAATAGGATGGAGATGTAATGCAAGCACTAATCCATTGAAGACATGATTGGGGAAAACCTAGCAGGGATAGGGTGTCCAAAAGAAACTCCCAGCCAACTGAATCAAAAGCTTTCATAAGGTCAACCTTCATAGCACACCTGGGTGGAGAAAGATGTTTGTGATACCCCTGAAGCAATTCTTGAGCCAGGAGCACACTGTCCCCAATGTGTCTACCTTTGACAAAAGCACTTCGGGAAGGGCCAATAATAAAAGGCAGCACCAATTTTAGCTTATTTGCAAGAAGCTTAGCTATGCACTTATAAAAGGTATTACAGCAAGAAATAGGTCTGAAATCATTCATTGTGGTAGGGTTATTCTTAGGCACCAGTGCAATGTAGGAGTTATTTACCTCCCTAAGCAATCTGCTAGTGGAGAAGAAAGACTTAATGGCCTTGGTCACATCCCTACCCACCACATGCCATGCCTTTTGGAAGAAGTGGGCATTAAACCCATCCGGACCCGGTGATTTCTCCTTTTTGCTTGAAAGAAAGGACTTACCCATAAATTAATATATTTCATAAGCTGAAAGAATTGATCAAGGAAGCAATCATCAAAAACTCTAGCGGTCATCGAATGTGACAGAAATTAAACAGGCACTATTCAACTTAATTTGATGGTAATACTTCATATTGACAGGAAAATGAGTGTGCAGAGATTAGGTTAGAGAGAGAAGGAGAAAGGGAGAGTAAAGCATGCTCCATATCTAAAAAATAAATAAATTAAAAAATTAAAAATTAAAGTCATAAGCCAATAGGCTACTGACATGTGGCTACTGTGCATTCCTCTCAAATGGATTCTTTAAAGGGAATAGGGCTATAACGGCATTTTGGCCATTAATTGAAAAACTAAAGACACGTGATCTCCTACTGTCGGAAAGTGCAGTCTAAGGAGGCAATATACTGTATAACATTTTTATAGTTGAAGGGTTAGCTTGCTTTCAAAAATAGTAATATGTAACAATAGTATAATTTACGAGAATTTTTTGCTTTTAAATCTTAAAGAAAAAAATACGTTTGTAATTACTCAAAAGTTGACTCCGTGACAATGCATTTCATGAGTGATGTGTGCAAATCATTTTGTCATGGTAATTCATGTTAATTTAATTTACTTGATTGGTATACCTATCTTCTTGTGAATGGATTTTACGAGTTTGTGTATCCAAATCATTTTGTCATGATTATTTATGTTAATTTTATTTATTTTATTGATATAATTATATATTACTGATCCAGGGAGGAAAAAAAAAAGTTATATACTATTGGATTTTGTTGAGTTTTATACTAGTTTTTTCTTTTTTCGTTTTTTTTTTTTAACATGGGAAACAAAACAAAGCAAAGCAGCAACAAAAAACTTGCCCACCAAAACAACACCTAACCACCCAACTGAGCAGGCAAACCATGGAACACCTGACTAAAAAAAGAATGTTAAGCAAGTGAAAGCTTTGCAACATCATGAGCCAGCGTATTTGCATCACGACGCACATGAACAAACTACATCACGACGCACATGAGCAAACCTAACAACATGAGAATCATTCAAGAGCTGGTGAATATCAGAGACCAAGGAAAAAATGGCTGCAGGACAAACTCTATATCTCTGCATAGCCTCATATAACACCAGAGAATCAGTTTCCACATACAACGAAAGAAACTGAAAATTCCTAGCCCAAAGCAAAGCCTCCCGCAAAACAAATGCCTCTGCCGAAAGGGCTGAAGAAGCTTTAAGAGACTTGAGCACCGCCACGCGCAAAACGACACCGCCATGATTACGAAAAACAATTCCACCCCTGCCCAACCTTGACTAGTAAGGAAAGTAGCATCAACATTACATTTAACGGACCCAAAATCTGGAGGCGTCCACTGAGCACAACTAGAAAGAACCTTGGAAGGAGCAACTCTTGACCCGTCCTTGCTAAGCTGACAAGCAGCTCTAAACTCCCAAAAGGCTGCCACTGCCAAGTTCACAACTCCTTGAGTAGTAAAAAGTTTTCTTTTAAAAACCAAACTATTTCGAGCTTTCCAAAGTGTCGAAGCAACAAAAGCCACCATATCCCGCACATCAGTCCTTAAATTACATATAGCTAACCACCAATTCTCAAAAGACTGACCAGCCCAAGCCGAAACATCCAAATGCAGAGGAGAAATCTACCACACATGAAATGTCTTAGGGCAGCATAAAAGAATATGCTCCACATTTTTAGGTCCCTCGCCAGATTCCACACAAAAATCATCATTCACCAGACCCCTGATCATCAAAGCAGACTTCGTTGGAAGCACTCTTTGAACACACTACCATAAAAAATGTTTAACATTCTGGGGACATTCACAATTCCAAAGATGTGACCAGCTTTTTGGATTACAATTTCGATTATCTACTTGAGATGCAAGAAGAGAAAAGGCCACATGATAAGCCGATTTAACTGAAAAAATTCTAGACTCCGTATACCCCCAGATTGGACAATCCGCAAGACCTCGCATGCTATTGGGAATCCCACATATAGCCTCCACAACCTCCCCAAAAATAACTAAGAGAGGAGATGAGATTTCCACGAAAAAGTAGAAGAATCAATGAGCTCCTCCACTTTATGAACAAACGTCTATGGATTCACACACTATAAAGTCTCAATGGAAGGTACCCAGGAATCGTTCCAAATATTAATAGATTTTCCATCACCCACAATCCATCGAAGGCCTTTTTTAACAACAGGTTTGGTGGACCAGAAACTCCACCAAGCCCAGGAAGGATTGCATCCTAGAGCAACTTCCATAAAAGAATAGTTTGGGAAATATTTCGCCTTAAAAACAATTCAAAAGCTAATCCTTTCTGAAGAACCTGAAAATTCCAAGCCTGTTTTGCAAGCAAAGCCAAATTGTACACTTGCATATCTCTGAATCCCAAGCCTCCGACTTTCTTACTTTTACACAAAACGTCCCAGTTAGCCCAATGAACAGCGTGAGCCTCAGGCTTTTTACGCCACCAAAAGGATCTGATAAACTTCATAATCTCCTCACATAAAGAAGATGGTAACCAAAAACACGCCATAACATACGTCGGTAAGGCACTTAAAACTGCCTTAATAAAAACTTCCTTACCTCCTTTAAATAGAAGAGTTGACGTCCAAATCATCAACCGACTTTGCACTTTCTGAGACACAAACTTAACCACATCTGCTTTGGAACATCCAATAAGCACAGGCATTCCTAAATATCAAGCTATTAAGCCCTCTTGCCCAATACCCAAGAGTTGGCAAATCTGTATACGTCGCAACTGGGTAGTATTCTTAGAAAAGAAGAGGGCTGATTTTACAAACTTCACCATTTTCCCCGAAGCCCGCTCATAAGTAAGAAGAATACGCTTCATCGATAGCACCTCCAAACAAGTTGCTTGACAAAAAATAATAGAATCATTTGCAAAAAACAGATGTGATAAAGAAGGGGCTCCTCTGCAAATCTTAATACCAGTCAAGACTTTCATTTGCACCGCACGTCGGAGCGCCTGGGATAAGTTTTCTGCACACAATATAAACAAATATGGAGATAAGGGATCACCTTATCTCAGACCCCGGGAAGGCTTAAAAAAACCCACCGGATGTCCATTGATAACAAGAGAGAAAGAAACAGAAGATATATAGGCAGAAATCAAACGAATCTATTGGTGATTAAAACCCAGCCTCCTAAGCATTGTAAACAAGAAAGGCCATTCAAGCCTATCATAAGCCTTACTCATATCAAGTTTTAAGGCCATAAAAGATTTATCCCCTCCTCTTTTATTTTTAAGATAGTGGAGAATTTCATGGGCCACAAGAATATTGTCAATAATATGACACCCCGCCACAAATGCACTCTGATTTTCACTAATACAGAAATCAAGCACAGATTTAAGTCTATTAGCAAGAACTTTTGAGATGATACGATAAGCTACATTACAGAGAACAATAGGACGAAAATGTGTCACCTGGGTCGGGGATTTCACGTTCGGAATAAGCACTATATTAGTATGATTTAAACTGGATAACATAAAACCCAAATGCATAAAGCTTGATATAACAGATACAATATCAGTTTTAAGTAAGCTCCAAAGATTTTGATAAAACAACAGGGTCATACCATCAGGACCTGGAGCTTTGAGAGGTGCTATAGAAAACACTGCTTGTTCTACTTCAGTCTTCAGCCTCTATAACAGGCTTCAAAAGTTGCTGATTCATCTTCTCAGAGATCTTGGGGGTAACATACTGTAATAATTGCTCCATAGTTGAAGGAGATTGGGTGGAAATAATTCAAAAATATTGCATGCACTGCCACCTCCTCTTCAATCCATTACCCAGAAGAATCTTCAACCCCCGAAATGCGATTCCAAGTTTGTCTTCGAATGGTAGAAGCATGAAAAAATTTGGAATTACGATCCCCTAACTTTAACCAATTAACACTTGACTTTTGTTTCCAAAACAATTATTCTTCAAACCATAGTTTATTCAACTCGCGTTCAGCATTAACAACTTCTTCATGGCGATACCTCGCCAAATTTTCCTTAACTGCCTTCAAGTGGGCTTCAGCATCAACAATTTTACTCATAGAATTATAGCTTATTTGCTTGACCCAACCCACCAGCTTTTCTTTGCAAATTCTTAACTTAGACGCCCAGTAAAACAAACGAGATCCCCGTACATTATAATTCCAAGCATCAGAAATAAGATTCCAACACTCCGACTCAGCTACCCATCGGGCATCAAAATGAAATTGAAGTGCTTTATGAAGAGATGGGGAGTAGAGATCAAGCAATAGAGCAGCATGGTCTGAACCTGCCACAGATAAATGTTGAAGAGAGGCTGGAGGAAACCGGAGACGTCAAACAGTGGATGCCAAAGCTCTATCCAACCTTTCACGAATATTGTCCTGCTCATTACATTGATTATTCCGAGTAAATAGAAAGCCAGTAAAACCTAAATCCCAGAAACCGCAATCATGAATCATCTAGTTGATGCTAAGCAAATAGTCCAATAAAAATTCAATATTTTTTCTTCTTTTAAGGTTCAAGATGATATTCAAACTTCAGTACACAATATTTATTATTTATTTAATAATGAGGCATTGGAAAAAAATTAAAGGGATTTTAATATATAAGTGGGCTTATGGAGCCATATTTACTATAGTTAAGTAAACTCTTTTGAAAAATGAATTTGACCCAGGATTTGGTGTTTACTATTATTATAATTTGTTACCTAATGATGAGCACTGAAAAGTGCGTATTTAAACCCCCTAAGCGAGGGTATTTTAGTCCATTTATCTATCTTTATTTACCCATTTTAGTACTTATTTGTGTTTTTGTCTATTTCAGACCAATAATGTTAAAACGAGCTAAAAATGGTTTCTTAAGGCCTTTTGGGAGTCAAACTAAGTCTTGGTGAGAATTTGGAGGAAAAGGAGACTGATCTGGAGCAAAAATAGGCTGATGTTGAAAAGTTGTCAAGTGAGAACGATCGTCAGAATGATCGAAAAAAGTGAGAACGATCGAACTCTGATCAATCGAACTTTTCTCTAATCGATCGAACTTTTCTGAGATCGATCAAAAATGTGCTGGCAACGACCTGTCTTATTCCCGCGCATGCCAGAACTCCCACCTACCATATAGTACGGGATTAGATATTTTTGGGGCTATATTTCTGACTTAAATGGTTAAGAAAATGATCTTCTATATAAAGGGAAGTGACCCATTTTGTAAAAAGAGCTTTTTATCTTTTTATTTTTACATTGTAATTTTTATTTCTCTCCCTAGAAAAGTTAGAGATTAGGGTTAGAAGAAAAGAGGAAAGTAGAGGCACATCTCAAGAACCCATCTCTAGATCCACATACTCTCTATCTCTAGAGCTTTAAAGAAGAAGATGGAGCCATGTTTGGAGCTTACCCTTGAGGGTTTCATGACCACATCTACCTCCTCTATGATTGGCTAGATCTACACTTAGGGCTTGGATGAGCCCTAAGTCTTGTGTAATATAAACCCTTGTATTTCTATTTTTGGGGATTTATATATATTGTTGTGATTAGTGTTCTAACCTTGTGAATTTAATGAATCTTAGTATAATTCTATAATTTCTATGGTTTAATTCTTTCTATTAATTCTCTAGTTTATTTATATGTCTATGTATGATTAAATTAGGAATTATTTCTTACATGATTCATATGGATTAATTCTTTCTATTGATTCTCTATTTGATTACATGTTGTCTTATGTGTGATTATTTAGGAATTGATCTCTACACTAGTTTCTCTATGTTGGTTGCATGTCTATATGTAATTAATTAAGGATTTAGTGATGGCTAGACATAAGTTTTCATTGAATGGGTTTGTCAATTAATTTTGATGGATTATTCTTACACTTGATGGGTTGTTCTACAATTTAATTCATGCTTGTAGGTAGATAGACAATCTATAGTTGATTTGATATTCCATGACTTATTATTGCAAATTCCATGATTCTCTAGATTGATGTATGCTACAATTGTGATTAGTTTGATGGGTCATGCTTAGAATTGATGGGTTGTGCTACACTTAGTTTATTTGTTGGTTAGGTAGACAATTCATACATGAATTTGATGGTCCATGCTTAATATTGCAATTGGTAGTCGCATTTTGTTCACAACAATGTATTTCCCATTAATGGAAAGCAAGTGGTTAATTACATGAGCTTAGTGGTGATTCCAACACCCTAAGACCTCTCTTCATATCTCTTAAATCCATATCTAAACTTAGTTTATTTTAATTTCCTTACATCTTAGTTTAATTAACCAATCTCTCTCTTTACAATCATTTGGTACATTAGAGTTGAAGTTAAATTTTAACACGTACAATCTCTTGGGACGATCCCTTCTCACTCATACTATATAGTATAGGTGTTAAGCGGTTTAAAATTTTAAAGTATGATGCCCACTTGACACTAATTTCCAAACTCAAAGTGTTGTGCATTATTTTGTGCACACGCTCGGGTCGTATCATAATTTTGGTGCCGTTGCCGGGGATTAACGGTTTTGTTGGAATTAGACTAGACAATAGTGTTCATTTGATTGCTTCTATTTTTATTTTATTTTCCATTGTATATTCTTTTTCTTATTCTTATTATTATTTGTTAATTAGGTACTTGACTACAAGATAGGCAAACTTTGGAACTTAAAGCAATTGTTGGAGCCTAAAGCTAATATTAAAATTTAAAGTTGCTTAAGGACTGTTGTGAGAAATTCTTGGAACTCTTGTATTTTAATTGTGCACTTCTTTGCATGCTTATGATAGCCCTTGTTGAGGCTTATTCTATTGCTTTATTTTAAGTCCAAGCATAGATCCTTGTGAAGGCCAATTTTTTTTCTTGCATTTGGATTTTGATTATAAATGGAGGAATTGTTTGATCCAAGTTTTGGGAGAAATTATGTCCCTTCACCTTATGCTCCTCCATCATATTTTAATCCTTATGAGATTGAGTCCAATTCATTTCATGCATCATCTTATTATAGACTTGATCACTCATTTAATCCTTCTTATGACTATTACCCTCCCCCACCATTTTATAATGAACCAACTCCACCACCTTCTAGGTACTTATCCGGATTTGAAGAAAAAGTGTTAGCTTTACTTGATGTGCACATTTCACAAACTCCACTTATTAATTCTCATTCTCAAATGTTAGCCAAGTTAGAAGCTCAAGTTGAGCAAATTGCAAGTACTCTTTCTCGTCAAGAGGAGGAGGAAGAGGCAAATAAAAAAATGGCAAGAACTTCAATTTATGTAGATGAGGATGATGAGAGTGAAGAGGAGGATGAAACAAGTGAGCTAATGCCTAGCACTCTATCTTGTATAGAGAAAGAAGTGGCAAGTGACTTAGTGGCTAATCCAATAGAGTATAATATGATTAATGAGGACTTTCCTTGTTTTGATTATGATTTTATCTCCACCATAACTACTTTAGAGAGTGAGGAGACGGTGACTACACTTGAGGTAGGAAAAGATGAGGAGGAACTTGTTGAAGAGGACCTTCCTTCTATTATCTCCAAAGACCCTCTTGAGACATGCCTTTTTGAAATGTATAAAAATTATGGTTTTGACCTTGAAAGCTCCAAAAATGAAGTGAACTCTTTAATGGACTCCTTAGTTAACTTGGAAGGTGAGGAGATGGTGATTTTTGAGGAAAAGAAAAAAGATGAAGAGAATGTGTTT